AAATCCACTGGCATTACTATCATGTTTCCATGTTGTACTATATTGTACTCCACCTAGGAGACAAAATCTAGTAATTTAAGGTAACTGTTAGTTGCATTAACAGAGGAAATGGGTCTATGAACCAAGGTGTTAAGGTAGAAGCATTTCTCCCCCCTCCCCCAGCCCATACACATACTCTTCTTTACTTCTGATATGATTTTGTTCTTTCCAGTGGAGTGAATCATCATTAGCAAAAATCTTCATTTTCACTCACATTTCCAAATACTCCCCCTCACCTTCTTGCTTTAATCTAGATGCCCAGCTCTTCCAGGCATTGCTAGCTTCCTGCAGTCCTTGCAAACGGTGGCTGCTTTCCTCTGCCATATATTCATGCCACTGCTCTAAGGAGATATGGGCAATGTCTTGATATCTTCCTTGTATCCCACTGTTGTTCTGAGAGCATTTTCTCTTTTTACTCTTATCCAGTCCTCAGTGATGAAGCTCAGTCCATCAGACACCACTCAGAAGCACCACTTATAGTGAGTTCCTCTCCCAGTCCCTGTATGTTAGCTTTCATGTTGTCAGTCTCTCCAACTCTGTTGCTGTCCTATTTCTTTTTTTTTTTTTTTGTAGATGTTCTGAGTTTTCAATCTCTTCCTTTCAGATATTTTGATTGTAACTTCATCCACTGCTTCCATCATCATGACTCTAGAGCAGTGGTTCTCACAGTGTGGTTCTGGACAACAGTACCTAGGACCTCACGAGGACGACTGGATATTTGGAAGTTTATCAGATCTTATTGGCATTACTATTTGTCCTCAATATCATTTTCAAGCAGCCTACCCTCCCTGTGGCCGTTGCCTTCTTTCTTGCATACTTAATCTCCCAATTCCTAAAATACTTTAACCTCATTGAGACCCCCATTTACTGATTCTACCACTTTTTTTTTTACTAGCCTTTATACTGCTCAGATCTTTTCTTTCCCCTTGTCCATCCACACATTTGAGTTCTCCTTTTCTTTCACAATGTCCAAAGAGTAAAGAAATTCTGTCAGCTCTACTTTCTAAGTATAGCTCAGTATATAAATTTCTTATAATCTCCATTTTAAGCATTTCAGCCCAAGCACAATTATTTCCCATCTGGACTAGTTCAACTGTTTTTTAGTTTATCAGTCTTTGCCCTCTCTGCTTCTACTTCCCATACTGCAGTGACAGCGATCCTTGTATAACACCCAAAGTTATATAGTAGTATTGCTTAAAATTCACCATATTTCTCTTCTCAGCATAAAAATCAAAGTGCTTATAATCCCAAGACACTCTGAGTGACATGACTTTCCCTGGTGAAAAAGTCATTATTTTCTACCTTCTTTCTCTCTCTCACCCTTTCTCCCCCTCTCCCTTTCTCCATTTTATGCTTAAAACTCATAACCATGTGACATATCTTGAATTCCTCATTTCTGTTTCCATTATTAGAATGGACACTTCATGAGAGCAGAGGTTTTCTTCATTGAGTCTCAGTTTCTAGAATCCTGCTTGGTAAATTGCAGGCATGCAGTTATTTGTGAATGGATGAATCAATGGCTGGATGTCATTGCTATTTATTTGGCTTAAGGCTACTACCACCCTTTTATTCAGTCATCACATATTTGATCATCTATTTGCCCTGTATTAATGAGATAGAATAAGAAAAAGAGTTTCCAGTTCAATAGAACTGAATTTTAGATAAAAACCAATATAAAATTAGATATAATTTATATATCTATAGATAACTACAAACATATAAAATTACAGCAGCATAAAAGTCAAGATTGTGAAGTATATGGACCTCTAACCACAAATTAGAAAGGGAAGATGACCTACTTAAAGTCATGAGACCAAGGGAGGACATGAAAGGCTTCCCCAAGGATGTGATGACTGAGGTAAGCTCAAAACCAAGAGTACAGACAGGTGAACTGTAGTCTTTGCAAAGTGGTTGTGGTAAAAGAAAGACTAGGTAGGTAGACATAGGGGATACAGGCACAAGGGCACTGTGGCGGGGGAAACTGGTAAGATAAGTCCAAGAAAAGTACTGGAGCTGAGGGAGGCTTCCAAAGGGAACTTCAGAAGGTTAAAGACTTTTTAAATTATGTTTATTCCACCTAATTAAGAATATTTTTAAAAATCCTGCTTTATTCAGTAGAAATCCCCATTCTGATCTCTCAATTGATATCAAATTACCACCTAATTTATACATACTTAAACTCTAGCTTTCATAATCATGGTATTAAGTGAACCCAAGATAAAAGAAATGAGAAAATACGTGGCTCTGATGAAAAATGGTCTTTGCTTATTTATTTTTTAAAAAATACCTCAATTTACCAAACTATCTAAGGAATGGAACATTCTGACCAATATTAGTTTTTATTCCTACTGTTAATTGAAACTTAAAGTAAAATGACCTGTTTGAATACAAAGACTAGACTCACATTTATACAGATACAGTTGAAGCCTACAAGCCTTCAGCTACAATGCACTCATATCACAAGCCCCAAATGAGTTTTTCTTGCTTCCACAAACTAGTTCCCCATAATTATGAGCTAGAAGAGGGGAAACAAAGTTGGTTTTTATGATAGCGACCTTGGAGGTCTGTAGTTTGATGCCTAGATACCTTCTTTCCTGGGGTTGCCTCTGCCTGAGAACTGAAGCAGTGTTCTGATACATTTACTAAGTAAGGTAAACTTGATTTGGTTGTTTACTCCGACTCGTGGACTTTCAGATTTAGAACAAAGTTCTGGCCCTTGTCATGTTTTAATAAAGGCAAGCCCTAGATTTGTATGCTGCTGCTCTTTAACCAGGAAGAACATCAATAGGGATGAGGCGAAATGGAATGGATATCAGTCCAAATGAAGGTAGGTCTGGAAAATCTGGTCTCTGGCAAGTCACAGAGTATAACTGGAGCATATAGGAAAGCTGAAACGAGACCCCTTTACTCAGCTTCTTGCATTCCCTGTGCTGGCTGCATTACTTAGTAATTCCTCCCTCTCTACACCCTTCTATTTTGTTAGGGCCTGGGATGAGGTGTGAGGGAGGAGGGAATTCTAAGTACTGACAACTGCACCAGGGAAAAGATGCATTTACATGTTTTCTCCTCCTGGAAGTCTTTTTCTGGGTCCCTAATGAGAATTCATCACCTTCCCCTATTCTAACATCATCCTGTGCTGTTTCTATTTGGGAATATATCATTCCTTATAGCATGGATCACATGCTAATCATTTTGTCCCTCTTCCCAATCAGTATTACACTCAAATGTTTCTTAAATATGTTGAGAAAAGAGAAAATAGCTGGGAGCTGGGTGAGGGAAGCCTTTGAATGGCATGCTGAGGGATTTGCTCCCCTGGCAGCCAAAAGCCATAGCACAACTAGTCAGAGCTGTTAACACTGAGGATGGGATAGAAGATGAGGAGGAGTAGGCTGCCCCATAAAGTGGTGGCAAGCATCCTGTCAGGATGAGACAGCCCGGAAAATCTGGACACAGGAGAACAAAAGCCACTGATTTGTGAATCTGGATATTCATTTAAATGTGGGCATTCAAATAGGGCAGGAAGGGAGGTTTTGAGGTTTCAAGTCTGAATCTTTAGAATCCAGGAAGAACTGTCACCAAATGAAGTTCGACATGATCCTCGACTTTTCATCCAAACTCTCTAATTCAAAATGGTATGTATCAATGAAAGATTGATGACATGAATTATCTTAAGAACTTATATATTATCTTTCCTTGAGGCACAAAAATCTGACCTTGGTATAGTAGACATTTTTTCATCGGCTTTTAGTAATGGCTTTATTAGACCATTACTGATATTAGTAACTGCTTTTTTAACCTTGAAATGTAGCCCTCATTGAATTTGTCATAAAAGAGATGTCAGTGCTCAGCTTTCTTTTGGCTCCTCTGTCCCTCCTGCCCCTTCCTAACAACAGAAAATTTGCTGTGCACCTGCTCCACTGAGTCCTAAGTGATAAGCATCTTGCAAGCCCAGAAAATAGTAGTATCAAATCTCAGCCCCAACTGTGAGGCAGCACTATCATCGAATCCCTGCCCGCCGAGAGGCTAAGAGGCATTGCCTTCCCAGCTCCCAGGGGAGAGAGCTTTCTCCCTGGGCCCCCTTTCAGGCTTGAACTCTGACCTAAGCGCTCTCTTTAGCTCCAGCATGCGTTGCTCTGGGTGCTGGTCCTGACCCAGCCTGGCCCCCACCTGTTTTCTACGCACCTAGGCCCAGGAGCAGGTTCACCTGGTAGCCCTGAGGCTGCTGGAGTGTCCAGTTCCCAAAACCGGATTTATCTCAGGGAAAGAAATGGGTCTTTCTGGTGTTACAGCCCATTGCTTCCCCCCTACCACTGAAACAAATGCTACAGAACATTTGATTTATTGTTTGTGATTTGGTAAATATACACAAATATTTGCCTAGTATTCTGAAGGTGTTTTCATTCTCTTCTTGCTTCATGCATGCAGTGCTTTGTTAAAAGTTGTGATTATTTTAAGAGGGCTCTGTCCCTGTTGCTGGCACAAATGTACATTTTTTAAATATATAGTATGCTGCTGTTTACATCATTTTGTCTTTTTCCATCTCAGTTGTAATCCCCGTGGGCTTCCCATCACCAAACCACCCGTGTGCCATCACCATAGTCCAGTGCACTTCCCCCCACCCAGTTTTTGATCCCATTCCACCCCCATAAAATGTCTCTGGTATGTAATTGTTCATTATTATTTTCTCCCCTGGCCCTTTGCACTCTTGCTATGAGTGAAACCATCCTGTATTTTCCCTTTTCTTTCTGGCTTATTTCACTAAGCATGATCCCTTCCAGCTCCATCCAAAACATGTAAATATTTTTAAAAATAATGCTATACTCAGGAAAACTCTTATTAGAACTTCAAGTAAAATCTATTTACTAGGAGAACAGCATTCTATCGACTACAGTATTTGATTTTGAAGGGACAGAAAGAAGTGCTGACTGACCTTCTATAACTTTGTCTTTATTTTTTCTTAGGTTTTTCAAATAGACCAAAGTCATTAAAGATACTACTAAACCCCCAGAGCCACAAAAAAGAAGCTACCCAGCTCTATTACGGGAAGGTTGAGCCACTGTTAAAGATTGCAGGAATTAAGACTGATGTAACAAGTAAGTCATTTTTTCAGAATGTAATTCCGACATTAAAAAAAATCAATTAAGGAAGCAAAATAAGAAGAATTTGTTCTTAAATATAGGGCATTCTGTAATATCTAACACTTTTTTAAAAAGTATGCTTTCATAACCTATTGCAGACAAGTTAAGATTGTAACTTAGTTGTTTGCATTTTCTTAAGAAATCAATGTTTCTACTTGACCTTTTCAAAAACTTCAAAAATCATTAGGTTTTAAAGCAGGCTACATACTTTCCAATATCTTCATTGAGATGTTCGCTATTTATACATTATTTGTGCAGTCTGACAAGCAATTGATGTTTGTTCACTTGAATGTTTGATGTCCTTCCATGAAATCCTTCATTAGTTGGTTTTTGTTCTGACTCTGACCCCTGCTGGTTAGGTCAAAGCTAAGCACTTACTGCTGATTGTAAATGAGTTTAGCAAAGCCAAAAACTTAAATTCATTCCAAAATAAAAAAAAAACACTTAGATTTGCTAAGGCAAATAGAAATTTGGTAATGTTACAGTTAATAGAAAGAGTAGTAAAATCCTTTTCAACTTTTTGAATCTAGTAATCAAATTCCTTTGTTTTCTTGAGACTGATTTTTCTTATGGGAATGGACTGGAAAAGACAGATTGATGTTATTTAGAATTATCTTCAATTTTTATCATTTTATTTCTATGTAATTTCCCTAGCACAGTGCAAATTTGTAGCAAGTTTCAATTGAAGAAGAGTATTGCATAATAAACCCATGTAGGAAACAGAGCAAAGAACATTTGGAATCTCCCTGTCCAACTATAAATTCCTTGGAAAAGGGATTCAGAGTGATCAAGTTTTGTTTAGCTGTAAGCTAGGAAGATTTATCTCACAATCTTAAAAGGCTATTGAAGCTCACACCTCATGACTTGATGGACTGGTGTTGAAGGAGTTTCCTAAAAAGAAAGGCAGTCTTTGTGAAAAGTAAACTATACTAAGAGGCATATATTATAATGGAAGTCCAAGAGGAATTGCCCTAAAGATTCTATGAGAACTGCTGAATTTAAAAAAAAAAATGTAGTGAAGGAGTCAGGGTTTCAGTTTTGTGATACTTGGCTTACTTAAAGATGATCAGTAAGGAAAAGGGGTTATTCAGACAAAACATTCCTTTCCACTGAAGTTTGCCAAAGATCAACAGAAGGAAAAATTTGAAATTCATGGTTGTATGAAACAATGGAAATTTGGGTAAACTTATAGGCAAACCCAGTAATGTGAATTATATTATTTCACTGGTTTAATATCCAGACAGTTTTATGTGGGTACTATTGTATATCATTCAAGAAACTTGTATTTGTGTTCAGCATTACACAGAATGCAAGATGAATAAGTTATGCTACCTGCTCTTGAATGACAATTAGTTTATTAGAGACCCAGATATGCATTTAAAATAAAGATATATATTTAATATATATTTTAAGAAGCCATAATGTCTCAGAGGGTTATACTAATGTATTAGATTATGATACATCACAAGACTCAGGAAAAACATTTGAAATAGAAATTTTAACTGGCCAGCTTGAAGAGTCAGTGAAGGCAAAAAAGAAATATGGAAAAAAGTTATGCTAGCAAGCACATGTAAGTGGAGTGTGTGTATGTGTGTGTTTATTTGTCTTTGGAGTTACTTCGTAACTTTGTCTTCCTCACTTTTGACTTAAACAGTCATGAATTGCTTGCCAGTGAACTGGTGAGAGTTAACACCTTTAATCCTGAATGGGATTAAAATGTCATCCTTCAGTTTGATTGCATTACTACAGTAGGCATGAATAACCAAGCTCTCACTCTTCACCATCAAGATCCTTTTCATGGGCTGAGGTGAAACCTTGCTTTTGCTGGAAGGTTGAGGACACCTGAACTGAATCTGGATTCTATAAAGGAGGAAAGGGTCAAGATGGCTTCTGGGGAGGCTCCCAGCAATGAGCAGTAGAGGAAGTCGGAGCCCAGGTTGATCTTTTTGCTGCTCTCTGCAGGAGTTTAAGCGTCCCACATTGACCCCAAGCTGCTATAAATTTTTTATCATAGTGATGTGTATAAATTTTTTATCATAGTGACGTAATCTGGTTTGGTAAAGATGACTGCTCTGCCAAAAGATAAAGAGCATACATTAAGAGGGAAGGTTGGAAGAAGGAATCTAGCACACGAGACCCAAACTAAGGTAGAGGACATGATAGGAATGTATTTTCCTCCTTAAGACGATTGTATTGGAGAATGAAATATGATCTAGGGCTATTTTCTCCTAAATTTACAAATGTCATATACTCTTATATTTAGGTTAACATAAAATCACAGTACACAAAGAAAATTTGGAATTTACTTATATATTTGTGCCGAATGACTTATTATTAGCTGCCTTACACTCCTCCTACAGGCAAAATTATAAAATTGCACCTTTTTCCTTAAAAAACTACTTTTGGGTATATATAGGCTAAATATTTATTTGAAAAATGATTTCTATGTGTGAATGACTGAATGAGCATAGCTACTTGAATTTTCTCATCATCTTGCTTATCACACCGTATGCCTTTGTAAATGTAATAAGGTAATACATTTGAAGCTACCTTTAGAAGTACTTTCATAGAGCTGTTTCACTTTCATAAAAATGTACTAGTAAGGTCCAATTCACATTTCATTTGAAAGAAAAAAATAGCTTGTATGAAAGAATAAAGCAGAAAGTAGGTATTTCTGCATGTGCAGTATGACTTGTTTTTAATGCATTTAATATACATTATTCAGTCCAAATAGAATAAGAATTACATAATAAATTCTACACAATGATTTATTCCTTAGATGGCACTGTATAAATGAGGCATGGTTTATAGCTGGAGATATAGATTATAAAGTAATGTTTTTATACATTCCTTTAAAAAATGAATTTCACCCATTAATAAAAACATACATGCTCATTCATTTTGACTTGTGCCGAAACCCTGCCTACTTCAGTATCTTTTGAAATATTTGAACTAAGTTGCACCCCTGCCTTTTCTGCCAGGACCAGTGCAGTCTCTTATCTAATGGAATATTAAAAAATTCTGAAAGAATTCAGAGAAAAACTGAATTTTTTTTCTAGTAACTTGTTGGTATAGTAGTCAAAGAAGACCTCACCTGGTAAGCCTATGCCAGAAGAGAGTAAAATTCCTTCTCTTACTCTCCACACAGAGCAGGCTTTAGGAGTTTATGACTAAAGGTGTGAGAGGCGTCTTGAGAGATCATGGATTCATACGTTATTTCATGGAATAATACAATGAAAAAAAAGCAAGGCAGAAATAAAACTGGAAGGAAATTCAAAGGTCATCTAGTTCAGTTTGCCCTGGTGGCGCAGTGCAGCTGTGTGGCACTCAGGAATGACTACCCAGCTGGGCACCCTGTGGTCAGTCAGATAGCATCGCTGACCAGGCTGTCACACATTCTTATCATGAGTGACCTTTGCGTAGATTAGAAAGACACCTCCTCTGTGCTTTCATAAAACCAGACGATGGCCTTTCTTCTGGGCTGGTTCAGTGCCTCATCACCTGGCATGTTGAGTGAGGAGCACTGTCTGGATTGAAAACCCACTGCTCCTTGGCTCAAGTGCTTCTGTGTGAGAAAAAAACTGTACCGCATAGAGAATTAGCAAGCCAACTTTGTCTCCAGAGGAGATGTTATCTTTTGTAATAATGCAAAGCACGTCCTATATGTAACTCAGTCATTGAGGTATCATAACTTCCCTTGATCTCTCTTGTAATAGGCACACCCTCTGTGTGTTAACAAACTGCTAGCTTTTATGGCTATCATCATCACAGACAGAGACACTGCTCTGAACACAGTCTTGTTCTTTGCCACCTCAGCACCCATGACAGCCAGCATCCAATCACCAGAGAATTTTTACCTCTTAACCTACCTTTGACTGACCCAGGATAGTCAAAGTGAAATTTGTTGTCAGTTTCCTTTTTCCCTACTTAGAATCATGGCTCTAATTTTTTTTATTATTTTTTTATTTTACAAAAGTTTATTTTTACATCATTTTGTACATTTTTTTTCCATCTCAATTGTA